GACTCAAAGTGTGTGTCCACACATCCTATCCAGACTCCAATCAATGTGATTTTATTGAGTTTGTTGTTATTTTCCCAGCTCATAGTTAACCAGCAAGCTATTTTGACACAGACACAATTGTTTTAGCTTTGAAGGGCGTTGCAGAGATTTTAAAGATTTTCACAGTAGGCTTCAAACTTTTCGAACAGTAGGTTTCAATATTTTCACAGTTGGCTTCATACATTGGAATCAGACTATACACATGTGTTTCCATATATTATTTATATTTGATAGATGAATGAAATGTTATTTATTTTACAGGGTTCTCTATTTTTGGCATTCCTTTTATACTCTTTCCAACAGGTGATTTGCTTACACAAATTCTACTTTGATCAGTTTGATGGTTAGAAATGAAATAAAATGTATAAAGTCATACTTTTTTACCAAGCCGCTGAGTGGTCTATATGTTTGAATATTGTCTTACTCTTGAAAACTCTGTTTATGAGGTACACTACTCTTTTAGTGATGATTGAAATCCGTGATGTCCCTAAATTGTTAAAATTCGGTCTAACAGAAGGTTTTGTGCAGTTTCACATGAGGGAACCACAGATGTGTAACATTGCATGTCATATATTTCTTAATGCAAAAACAGAAAAAGAATTTAAGAAGAAGATAGATGATGGGTATCAGGTGAGCATGTACGGGGAACAATTAAAAGTTCTCTTGATGCTGTTTTTGTCAACTGTATGATAGTCAACGGTGTCTGATTTAGTACTTGAATGTAACGGGATTGAATTCTTTTGCATTCGGGAATCCACGAATGTAACTTGAATGTAACAGGATTAAATATAAAGTGAGAAAGCCACCAGACTGAGCATCAGTTATTCTTCGAATGAAGGTTAATTGGGTTTCAAATTGCAGCATGGAGGTAATTTCACTTCTTGTTTTCTTTCTGATTTCTTCTTAGTTGGAGTTCTATTTCCAACTATGATGTACTTGCTTCTGTCTAACAGCTTTGAAGGTGTCTCCTCTCGCTTGAAGCTATTTCCTTCTACCTGAAGATATCCTTTCGCAAGCGCTCTTTTCCCATCATTTATTTTCAAAATATACCTCCAAATTAGAGTAGTCCAGTCGCTACCACTACTTAGGGTATTTCCAAATCTCTAAATTCTTCTTTGTTCTTTTTCTTGAAAAATAATTTGTTACAATTAAAAATATGGCCTACACGCTGACATTTTTCTACATAAATATATTCAGATTCCTTGAATGTAGATCTCATACTATATCATAGTTACCACCTGCAAGTGAAAAACTATATCATAGTTACCACCTGCAAGTGAATGTAGATCTCACACTATATCATAGCTACATTTAGAGAACCATTGAATGTATACTATATACAAATCCAAGAGGATTTAGAAATAGTGTCCCTGCCAGTGTGTTGTGTAAGCTTCTAGCTATTGTGTCCCTGCCAGGTGCTCGGTACGCGCTCACTTCTTTTTTGTCTAGAGTTGCTTTCATGGCTCTAACCTCTTTTCATCCTCTCAAGTAAGATTGGTGATATTCCAACGGATGGTGATATTCAAGTAGGATATCTGATATTCCATTACGCTTCACGATTGGCTAGATAGCATCGACTAGAGATTTGAGATGCCTTTTTGTAGCACCATAGGGAATGGTTAAAAAGAAGACACAGAGTTGTGCTTGATTTTCATTGTCAATGATAATTTGATCTAAATTTTGAAAATGCATTTGGTTAGAAATTCATTTTCTAAAGTTATTCCAAGCAGCCTTGAAAATCTAATTTGGGAGAGAAACAACATAGTTACTCCTTTATAAAGAATTTTGATTAATCTTGGATAATGAGAAAACATAGAGATATGTGATGATTAGGTGACTTCGAAGGAAACAAACATGGTTGCGTTATTATTCTGTAAAAAGTTTCATCAAATCAACATTAGGTTTTGTATAGGGTTCCCAGACAGAT